AGTGGAGAATCAATTGGGCAGGAAAATCATGATGCTTCGATCCAATCGAGGAGGAGAGTACCTAAGTCTTGAATTCCACGACTATCTCAAGGAATGCGGAATAGTTTCTCAATTGATGCCACTTAGGAAACCGCAGTTGAATGGTGTGGCAGAAAGGCATAATCGAACCTTCTTAGACATGGTTCGTTCTATGATGAGTCGTGCTTCACTACCTATCTCATTCTAGGGGTATGCCTTAGAGACTGCGGCCTATATCCTTAACCGAGTCCCTACAAAGAAGGTTGCCAAAACACCTCACGAGATGTGGACAGGGAAAGCTCCCTCGTTGGCACATATCAAGGTTTGGGGTTGTGAAGTTTTCGTAAGATGAGAAAATCACGACAAGATCGAACCTCGTAGTGAGCGGTGTATTTTCATCAGCTACCCGCAAAAATCCTTTGGATATCTCTTCTATAGACCGAGTGACAGAGTTGTCTTCGTTGTGAGGAGAAGATTTTTCTGAGAATGAGAACTCATAAGCCAAGGGGACAGTGGGAGGAAAATCGGTCTTGAAGAGATTCAAGAGTCTAGCGATGAAGGAACCTCTAACGCTGGCACTCAACCTGAGGAGGAAACTCCGGTTGAACCAATTGACGAGTCCTTACCTCTTAGACGTTCCGAAAGAGTTAGAGTTCAACCCCAGTTTTATGGCTTTCATATTACTATAGAATGGGACACGTATATTAGTGATAGTACGCTAATAAATTTAGATGAACCTAATAGCTACAAAGAAGCCATGACAGGCCCGGAGTCTGCAAAATGGAAAGAGGCGATGGACAGCGAGATTCAATCCATGTACAACAACCAAGTTTGGAATTTGGTTGACCATGTACCCGGAAGTAAGACGGTTGGGTGCAAATGGATCTTCAAGAAGAAGACCGACGTGGATGGGAATGTGCACATGTATAAGGCACGATTGGTTGCGAAGGGATTTACTCAAACTCCCGGAGTTAACTATGATGAGACCTTCTCGCCAGTTGCTAAAATTAAGTCTATTAGGGTGATGCTAGCCATTGCTGCATTTCATGATTATGAAATATGGAAAATGGATGTCAAAACCGCTTTCCTTAATGGGAATTTGGTTGAGGATGTTTACATGGCTCAGCCGGAGGGTTTGGTCAATACGAAGCATCCCAATAGGGTGTGTAAGCTTGAGATGTCCATTTATGGACTTAAGCAAGCGTCTCGCAGATGGAATCTTTGCTTCGATGAGAAAGTCAAAGAGTTTGGATTTGTAGGAAGCGAAGATGAATCATGTGTTTATATAAAAGCCAGTGGGAGTATAGTTAGTTTCCTCGTATTGTATGTCAATGACATATTGCTCATAGGAAACGACATCCCGACACTGCAGGAGGTTAAGTACTGAATCGGGAAGTGCTTCTCTATGAAGGACCTCGGAGAGGCTTCCTATATTCTGGGAATAAGGATAGTGAGAAACCGAAGTAAGAGACTAATAGGACTTAGTCAGTTGACTTACTTAGAGAAAGTACTAAAATGTTTTAGTATGGAAAATTCAAAGAAGGGGAGTTACCAATACAAAGTAATGCCAAATTGAGTAAGACTCAAATTCCGAGTACAGAAGTCAAGATAGCTGAGATGAGTCGAGTACCTTATGCTTCCACAGTTGGCTCAATCATGTATGTTATGACTTTTACTCGCCCTGATGTGGCCTTTGCTTTGAGCATGGTTAGTAGATATCAAGGGAACCCTAGCAGAGCTCATTGGATCGCGGTCAAGAATATCCTTAGGTACCTTCAGAGGACCAATGAATGGTTTTTATTCCTCGGAGGGAGTGATGATTTAAAGGTGCAAGGCCATAGTGACGCCAGCTTCCAGACTGACAGGGATAACTATCATTCGCAGTCGGGCTGGGGCTTTACCCTTAATGGAGGAGCAGTGACTTGGAAAAGTTCCAAGCAAGAGACCGTAGCTGATTCAACATGCGAATTAGAGTACATTGCAGCGAGCGAAGCGTCAAAGGATGCGATATGGTTGAAGAACTTAATTGGTGACCTTGGAGTTATGCCTGTTATAAAGGAGCCTATGGAAATGTTCTGTGATAATGAAGGAGCGGTTGCCTTGACTAAGGAACCGAGGGATCATGGTAGATCTCGTCATATTGATAGAAAATATCACTTTATTCGACATCGGGTAGAAGAATGACACCTCATAGTAAAGAGGGTATCGTCAGAGGATAACCCAACAGATCCGTTTACAAAGGGACAGAGTAGGGTTAAGCACTTGCAGCACGCTAGGAGCATTGGGCTGAAGGACGATAGTAGTTTAGATTAGATAGTTTAGAAACATGTAATAGATAAATATAATTGACATTTGATGATTAAGTAAAGGAGTATTATTTATAAGTAAAGCTACTGTCTTATGTTAATGTTTAACTATTGTTTCACTTTGCATGTTTTGACTTCCAAAATAATTAAGTTGCTGAGAATAATCAAATTATGCGAACGGTCCACATTCATTCATATGTTGGAAGTAGGTATGATGGAAGACTGTCATGAATAGGTGTGTAGATTGTCTAAAAAGTATTAGACATAGCAAAAGTTTGCTACAACGTTCATGAGTGCTTATGAACAAGTTTTGAGCATTGGAATAAACCAGCACTTGCTGGAATCACTTCATGGAATTCATCACGAGTGATCGCATGATGATAATATCATATGGTCTTAAAACCTAGATATATGGTTTATTGTTTGCTAATTGGTTGTGCATTGATAATGCGAAAACGCATCAGTAACTTGATGTTATAAAACACATTGTGGTGTATGATTTGATTAGTAAATAGTAAATGCATATAAGTTGAAGTTTATCTGTTCCTTTCATCCTAGGAGGGTAAAAGCAATATCAGGTACCCTCGATGATTTGATTTGACTTATGTGCTGGGCCCGGTCAGGACTGAATTGATGTGTTCAAATAAGTTCTATGTTAAATGAATCTGATATTTAGAAACCAAATTGTTGGACAATAAGTATGACAATGTTCCATGTAATTGTCCGCACAATATCTAGAATAGAGGATTATACGATCCCTTATCTGAAGGATAGGATACTGGTATGATCAGAGTTTGAGAGTGTCTTTGAGAGCTAGGATTGCTAATCGGATTGTGTTTGCATATATAGTTACTAGACTTATTCAAGTGGGAGACTATTGGATTAGTGTCTAAGGCTGTAACTATATTAGGTAAGTACTTGACTCGGTTGTGCATGGTCCTTTTGGGTTGCCTTCACCATAGCAACTTGACAAGGTGATTTGTAAAGAGAGAAGAGATATTATTATTAATATATTATGAGAGTAATATATTAAAAGAATAATAATATTATTTGATTAATATAAGTCATAAATTAATTAATAATTAATTTGGTGACTTAAAGGGGTTAATTGAATAAAGGGGCATAAACTGTCAAATCTGTGATAGTTGTGTTTTTGGGCTATGAATCCTTATGGGTATAAGGGTGGCCGAATTTTAGGGTTAAGATATCTTAAAGTTCGTCCAAGTCTCATATCTAGAATGATCTTTGGATTGCTTAGGGCCTAAGTTATTCAATTAAGGTTAAGGGTGTAACCCTAGTAGCTCATAGTATAAATAGACCCTGTGGGTGAGGGAAATCGGCCACTCTTACATAAAAGAAACCCTAGAGCCTATTTCCTCACCTTTTCTCTCTCTCTCTCTCTCTCTCTCTCTCTCTCTTTCTCTCTCTTTGAGATCATCCTCTTGCTAGTTGGTGTTTGTAAGCCATTAGAGGAGTGACAATTGTGACTCTAAGCTCCAAGAACAAGAAGTTTCAAGCAATCAACTTAAGGTATTCTTCTAGATCTGATTTCATATGTTATGATTCAATTGTTTACACTAGATCTAGAATTGTAAGCCTTGGATACATTGCATGTTCATTTGGAGAAACCTAGATCTAAGCATTAGGGTTTGCATGTGCACATAGGAATGTTCTTATGGCTTTAACCTAACACCTTTGGTGGAGACCCTTCCACCGCCGGTTAGTGTTGATCGATCCCTGGCATTTGGTGCTCCCCCTATTGTCAAGGACAAGGGACATGGTCCTCAAGTTGATATGAATTTGGTGGATGCTCTCGTTGAGGGTGGTTCTCGCAATGATCCTCCGCCCCCAAATTCTAAAGATGAACCATCGAAGGAGGTGGCACTTGGTGGTAGCCAGAAAATTACCAAATGATGAATAGCTCGGGTAGACTCCCCACTTATCAGAGAGGTTGGTACCGATACCATCGACAAACGTCTTCGCAAGAGATGCAACGTGGATTTCTTCTTGGGGGATTCTGATGCTTTGATCACCACCCACGATGATGATGCTTCATACCTATTGGAGTGAATGGACATTGAGGCAAACAAACTACCTCATGAACCAAAAAAAGAACTGAAGGTTGACACCGACCTTGGTGGTGGTGAGTCTGGGAGGGATCTGAAAGTTGACTTCCAAAATACCCTTGGCTTTGCTTCGTCTCCAATGAGAGACAATGCTATTGCAGTTGATTCCCCTTCAACTTTGGTGGGTCCCGACATCTCTCACCCGGAGTGGACTCTTACTCGTATGTCTCTACTTTCACAACATTCGGTTGAGCGGAGCCATCATGTGTTCCCTTCAGCCACTATAGAAGCACTGAAGCTCCTTTATAACTCCAATAGGGCTAACAACTTGCAATATGCGGCGACTTAGGTTGCCCCTTACTTTGTGGTTGCGGCCAGTCGCATGCGTCACGTTAGCTCGAATTTAGTGGAATTTGTTGCCGTTTAGTCTGAGCGTGACGAGCTGAGGGAGAGGGTGTTGGGCCTTGAGGCTGAGAAGCGTAAGTTCGAGGAGCATTACGACCTGTTTGTTAGGGAGAAGGAATCTGCAGAGGTGTATGTAATGGGTTTGGATGCAAAGGTGGAGCGTCTGTATCAGTAGGTGGACAACTTGGAGGTGGAAAAAGGAGCGATGGAGGTGAAAGTGAAGAAACAAGGAGAGCAGATGGTTGTAGAGGAGTTGAGGAGGAAAGTCTTTGAGGCAGATGTGGCTTGGCTTCTCCATAAAGGGTACGCTCACATGATGGACCAGGTGATTGAGAGTGTTGAGTTCTTGTTGGGGGTCTGGCAGATGAAGGAGAAATGCATGGCGGCCAACGTGGAGGGTGGAAAACAAGTGATCCGGGAGCATGTTGTCACTGGTAAGTTTATCCCTGGAGAGCCGAGCGCTATCGTGGATTAGACATAGGCGATGCATGCCTCTATGAAAACCTTAATGGAGACAGACTTTGCTTCCTACCTTCATCTTTTTGAGCTTGTTATGGAAGGCCTTTGCCAATTATGCAATGATCCTGATGCTGAAGAGAACCAACCTGAAGGTAGCTCCTCTAAGGTCGGGCCCTCCTCCGGTCCTCTTGGTAAGTGATCCTTTCCTTCCTCTTGGATTTTTTATGTTTAAGAAACAAACTTGAACAATGTTTTTATGGCTGTGTGTGGCTTTGATTAATTCCGGGTAATGTACGACAAACAATACACTTTTATTGCTCTTGCATATATCATGCTTGCTTTTTTTTTCAAAGCTTCTCTGCTTCTGATCCCAGGTGATTTATGTTGGCCATTCTAGGTTTGAATTCTTATCAAAGGTTAGTGTTGGACTTTGAGGTAACATGTGTTATGGTTGCTTTCCACTGAAATTTTGAGTGTATGCTTTAGGAATTTGTTGAGTGTAATTCCAAGTTGTGTGGAAAGTTTCTATGACCCAAAGAATACTCTCTTTTGGTTGATGTGAGTTGTTTATTCTTATCCATAATGTGTTAACTTTGGCCTGGGAGTTTGCGTTATTAAACTCGGGTCTCTTTCTTCTTTTAAGTCATGAGCCTATATTTTTAGGTTGAGACTTTGGCTAGCCTTTTCATGTGGACCTTAACTGATCCATTTTTTGTTAGGTTATTCCTTCTTGAATATGGTTTTGCAAGTACCCTTTCAAGACTTTGTTCTAAGTCTTGGGCTAAAGAGATTTGCACTCTGGCCCTAGTCGTCTAAGTTAAGCCGAGATCGTCATCTCGAGGCATTTACAACTTAGGTATTTTTATATCAAGGAAAAGGTTATGAGCCTTTGAAGCATGCGTTCATGTAATAGGCAAAGGTAATAGTCCTTTTAAATTAGATTGACACGTTATGGAAATGTTATGAGCCTTTAAGGCTTATGGTTGCATCCTTGCATCAATTTTGTTTAAGTGACATGGATGATAAATCCTTGTTATCACTTGGTAAATGTGCACAACATCTTATTGAAATGATATCAAGCTTGGATATAAGTAAACATCTGAACTATTTTTTTGAGACGATCAATTTTCATCATTCTATTGATAATACTTTGGAGATATCAACATTCTCAAATTAGAATAACAATGACGAAATATTGGCATGAAAGTGGGCCTAAAACTAGAGCTACTTGATGGGGTGTGATTATCCGCATGAAGTTAGATCACATTTCCCTCACCTTAAGGGTGCTTTATTTTTCCTTTTCTCCTTGTTCTAGGAGTAAAAGTGACACAAACTTTGAGCGTTCTAGGTTTGGGGGATTCGCCTCCTGTCTTGTGCTTCTATAACATAAGCTCTATTTCGATGTGTTTCTACAATCTTGTACGAACCTTACCAAGTGAAACTTAATTTCCCCTAATGTTGTGCATGGTTGGACTCGTTCTTCCTCAACACTCATTGTCCTACCTTGAAGTTCTTTACTCGCACATGTCTGTTGTAGTAATTTTCAGTGCGAGCTTTGTAGGCAACTTGGTGGAGCTGGGCGGCTTTGTGTTTCTCGTCAAGCGTGTCTAGGTCTTGACGTCGCCTAGTTTCATTGGCATTTGCTTTGAAATCCATTACTCGCAGCGATCCTGCCAAGATCTTAAGTGGGAGAATTACTTCCGTTCCATACGCCAAACTAAATGGTGTTTCCCTAGTGCTTGTAACAACCCAATTTTCACGTCCAAAGATTTCAATTTTTATATATAACGATTCAGAAAAACATTTATAAGAAAACATCTCCATGTAATATCATTTCATAAAACCATAAACTCATGTTTGAAAATCATATCATAAAAGTAGTAACAATGTCATAGTACAATCCCAAGACATCTCATAGTGCGGAATCCAATCTGTGTATGATGTGCAGCTACCGCACCGACTCCTTCCCCTTCGCTGAAGAGGTACATGAAACAAAAATGAAAACTATAAGCACGAAGCTTAGTGAGTTCCCCCATTGTACCACAAACCATACAATCACATAACATACATATTTCCGAGAAATTCTAGGGTGCCCGACCTACCCGGTACGTCCATTCTGGGGTGCTGACCTACCTGTGTCAAGCCATTCTGGGGTGCTGACCTACCCGTGTCAAGCCATTCTGGGGTGCTGACCTACCCGTGTCAAGCCATTCTGGGGTGCTAACCTACCCGTCGGTCCTAACAACCGAATCCTCGGGGACTATTTCACCCTCTACTGCTACTATCACATATATCATAACATAAACATACTATCAGACATATTTGGGGTGTCCGAACTGCACTTTGGTCCTAACAACCGAACCTGGGGACTATTCGCCCTCCTACTACCACTATCACATATAGCATATCATGCCAGCATATAAACATATCAAATCATACTGTCAGACATATCTGGGCCGCCTGACCTACCCTTCGGTCCTAACGATCGAACTCTACTACTATCACTTATAACATATCATGCCAGCATGTAACATAACAGGTAGTAGCAAACCTAGATGAATATCACAAAGACAATCATCTAACATACAACCCCTACTGGTGGGCCGGCATTGTGGCCGTAGACCCACTGCTACTGGAAGGTAACTCACTTGGTAAGGCTGACTGCTGAAAAGTTGATCTGTAAATGTCTGACTGCTGCTCCGGTGGTCCTCCGACTACAATTCTCATAAACACTTAGTCAGACATTTCTAACTACTCTTAGGGTAAAATGACTGTTTTCCCCTGACCATGTCAAAGTCAAATTCAAAGTCAACGTTTTCAGTTGACCTGACTTGCCAAGTTGGGCCACTAACTCGTCGAGTCCCTATCCTTTCAACTGCCCTCATCCACGCTTCTACTCATTGAGTTTAGCAATAACTCTCCGAGTTCTCCTTCTTTACGAACCTAAAATGATCCTTCATCCGACTCACCGAGTTGTATGAACAACTCTCCGAGTTCACCTTTAACTGTTGAACATGTCCTGACCTTGACTCGCCGAGTTGTATGAACAACTCATCAAGTTCATCTTCAATTGCTGGGAGATTGCCTTGGACTCGCCGAGTCTGCTCATGCACTCGTCGAGTCTTATGAACTCCATGTCTATGGCTATGTCCAATTCGTTGGGTCACTTCTCTGGACCCCTCAAAGACCATTCTATCACTCATTGGGTTCCTTTGAACTCTAACAGAAAAGGGGAGTCAAGCCATGGACTCGCCGAGTCCCAAGAATGACTCGCCGATTCGATAATGTCCAAGTCTCATTTCTTGATTACTGGTGTACAAAACTTTTTCCAAATGATAGATCTAGGCTCCTAAGATCGATCTAGCATGTAAAGTTACAAACTTAACGTGCATGCATGGGACTATGAACTAAAAAGGCCCTAAAAGAAGATCTTGAGTTGCATGGGACTTTCCATGGGTGCAAAGGCAGTTCCTTTCTTCCTTCTAACCCTGTAATGAGCCTGGATCTGAAGCCTTAACCCCCACCATGCTTGCAATCATGGTTGGTCACCAAGAATAGCTTATAAAAGCCCTAAATCTCTCCAAAAAGGGATCTAATACAAGAAGGAGCAAGGTGTCGAATTTATACCTTCCAAGAACTATAGATGATGCACATGGTTGACTCCTCTAGCCAACCTCTTGGTTCCTTAAGCCTTTCCTTCCTTCTTGCCACCACAAACCACCAAGAATCACCAAAAGGCCTTTAGATCTTCACAACATGATTAGGGTTCTGTATGGAGTGTTCTAGGAGCATAAAGGGGCGATGGAGGCTGTATAAGGTTATTTAAATAGGGTGCAAACCCTCAGATTAGGGTTTTTCCTAGCCAGAGTCTACTCGTCAAGTCTTGCCGCCGACTCGAAGAGTTTGTCACTTAACCCCTGGGTCCAAACCGCTACTACTCAATGAGTTGGGCCATCAACTCGCCGAGTCTCAGTCCAAATTGCAAAAAGTACTTGAATGAAATACATACCAAGAACCGGGTGCTACAGTGCTGGATCTTGAGGTCGTGCGATACGAACATAGAACTGTGAGCAATTCTTCTACCCATGTCCTTTTATACCTTATCAGGCTCTTTTTAAGGCCATTAATGATGACCTTGTTTGATATCTTAGTCTGGCCATTGGCTTGGGGTCTGCTACTGAGGTAAACCGGCGATGTATATGTTTCTCTTCACACCATTCTTTGAAGGGACTTTCTTCAAATTGAGTGCCATTGATGTTGATTAGGACCCTTGGAGTGCCGATCCATGTAAGGATGCTTTTCCACATCAATTTTATCATTTGTCTCCATGTGATAGTGGTCAAGTTATCGGCCTCTATCTAGTTGGTGAAGTAATCGATAACGACCAACAAGAATTTAGCTCCTCTTGGGGAGGTGGGGAAGCAACGTCTATACCTTATTGGTGAAAAGGCCAGGAATGCACGATTCGTCCTCGCGGAAAGAAGTTGTTGGCTAAGGAGCTCAATGTAGCCTAGGGTTCCTTTCGGGAACGTCAAGGAGTAAGTCAAGAGGCGGTTGGGTCGCCTAGGTTGAATATCAATTGTTGAAGGATTAGTCAGTTTGTTGTATAGATAGATATTTATATTCTAGGTTGGGTAGTTTCTAATCAATCAATCAGTTTCAATGTACAACCCTGTATCCTATTCTCGGGTTGTGTGCGACCATGTTTTCATTAGATTTTGCATTAGTAGGAGCCTGTACCGTGAAAGGAATTGTGCATGGTAAAAGAGTATTTCACTGTTTTATTCAGTTACCATTGAGAGGGGTGTTGATTGGGTTCCTGCAAGATAATGGATTGAGGTTGAACATCTTTAGGCCTTGTGGTGCTGGTTGTGAGTTTTTGGGCGAGTGATGGAATGACAACAAGATCGACGTGGTACCATGAGCATCGTTTAGTGGTTAGAAAGTGTCATGATGTATTGTGAACTAGTGGCAGTATGTTTCATATAGGATGTAGGCCCAAAGATCATGATTGTTTATTTCCCGCATGTGGTACTTTGGGTGTTAGTGCATTGTTGGAAGTCGGGAGACTCACTGACCAACTGATTTGCATCATGTAGGAAGTTTAAGGTTGTTGGGAGTAATAATTGTGTGTCAGATGTCCCTAGAGAAGTGTTTGCATTATGAATCCTATTTGATTGTGGGTTGTTTATTAGGAGT